TTCTTGGGGCATTTTTCATCATTTTATCTCCTCTTTTACTCGTTTTTTCTCGACTCTTCTACTGATTTTATGTAATTACAGACTGTCATCAAGAAGCAAGAAACTATATGTAGTGGCGAGGAGTAGTGCAGAAGCTGAACTTAGAGTTATAGCCCTAGGTATTTGCGAAGGAATGTGGCTTAAAAGGATGCTAGATAAAATCAAAGTTCATGTGAACCATACTGTACAACCTTTTATCTTACAAAAGAGACGCACTTGCTGTCATACGAAAATTAGCCAAGATTATCCAAAACAAAAAAGGATTAAGCATTGCATCAATCTGAAGTGATCATGGTGGAGATTCTAAAATGAGAAATTTGACATTTTTTTAACGATAATGGTATTTAAAAAAAGTTTTCAACTCCAATAACTCCTAAACAAAACGGGGTAGTGGAAAGGAAAAGTAGAACTTTCGAAGAGTTAGCGAGGACGTTGCTCAACAAAACAAATCCTCCTAAACACTTTTGGGCTAATGCAGTAAGCATTACTTTCTGTCTGATGAATAATTTCTTGATAAAACTCATTCTAAAAAAGTATTCATATGAGTTATAAAACTAAAGAAAGCAAAACATTAATTAGTTGCATATCTTCAAATGTAAATGCTTTGTGCTTAAGAACAAGAAGGATAATCTTAAGAAATTTGACGTAAATGCTGATGAAGGCATATTTTTAGGAATTCCACTTCTAGTAAATATTTTAGAATTTTTAATAGAATAACCATGACAATATAAGATTCAGTTCATATTACCATGACAAGTATATAGATGTAGAAGTTATTAATTCTACAAGTATTACGGAGAAAACATCTCTTAAAGATAAAGAGTAAAATGAAGAGCAAGGGATAAATTAAGAGAAAGAACAAAGTTAAACAAAATATCTTCAAGTTGAAGAAGCAAATGTAGAACGTTAGGATCTTCCCGAATAATGGAGAACTGCCAAAAACCATACAATCTAAAATGTCATTGGGGATATTTCTAAGGGAGTTACAAGCCAATACTCCCTTAGCAAGGTATGTAACTTTATAGCATTCGTTTCCCAAATTGAGCCAAAAGAAGTTGATAAAGCTCTTATCGATGAACACTAGTCTCTTTCTATGCAATAAGATTTAAACTAATTTGAGAGAAATAGCATTTTAGAACTTGTTCCCAAAGCTTCAGTTAATCAAGTGGTTGGAACCCGACGGGTCTTTTACAACAAGCTTTACGAGAATGGAAATTTTTAAAGAAATAAAGCAAGACTCGTTGTGAAATTATACAATCAACAAGAAAACATACATTTTGATTAAACATATGCCCATGTAGCTCGATTAGAAGCCATAATTATGTTTCTTACTTTTTATTGGATCTTGAGTTTTAAACTCTTTCAAATGGATGTAAGTATTATGTTTTTTAATGGTTATATCCAAGAGGAAGTGTTTGTTGATCAACATATCAGCTTTATAAATCCTTATTTTCTAAAGCATGTCTTCAATATGAAAAAGACTCTATACGATTTAAAACAAGCCTATATAACTTGGTATGATCGTCAGACCAAAGTTTAAGTTTAAAAAGCAACTTTAAAATAAGGAAGGTTGATAAAAATATTTTTATCAAGAAATATAAGCATTTCATTTTATTAGTTCAAATTTATGTTGATGACACTATTTTTGGTGCTACTAACGAGTCCTTGTGTAAGGATTTTTCTGAGATGATTCAGAATGAATCAGAGATGTCAATTATGAGGGAGCTTTGGTAGGCCTGCAAATCCATTAATAAAACAAGACATATTTATCAATCAATCAAAGTATTTTAAATAGCTACTTACAAGATTCAACATGGATAAAATAAAGTCAATTTTAACTCTAATGAGTATATCTTATAACTTGGACAAAGATGAAGTAGGAAATCGAGTTAAGAAAGCAAGTTTTTAGGTATAATTGGATGTCTTATTTATCTTAGTGTGTGTCATCTTGATATCATGTTTGTTGTGTGTGTGTGTGTGTGTGTGTGTGTGTGTGTGTGTGTGTGTGTGTGTGTGTGTGTGTGTGTGTGTGTGTGTGTGTGTGTGTGTGAGAGAGAGAGAGCGTGGGTGCGCGTATGTGTGTGCGTGCATGTGTGTGTGTGTGACACGTCCATTTTCAAGTAAACCCTAAAGAATGACATATCACTATGATAAAATGCATCATAAGATATCTCACTATCACACCAAATGGATTTATGGAACCCCAAAGGAACTAATTTTTCCTTAGTTGGGTACTCTTACTCTTATTTCATTGGGTATAAATTATATTAGAAAAGTATCAGCGGTATGCGTCTCTTACTTAGTAACTTGCTTGTATCCTAGCATAGAAATAAATAATCAGGTGTAGGGTTATCCACAACTCAGGAAGAATATGTTGCTGCAGATAGATATTACATAAATTATTTGCATGAAACATCAACTAAGTGATTATAGAGTTGAGCTCTAAGTTGTCTCGATAAAATGTGACAATACTAGCACCATAAACCTCATAAACAATGTGTTACTTCACTCTCAGGCTCAATATATTGAGATAAGATACCATTTTATTAGAGATCATGTTGAAAAAGGGGATTGGATAATTGGTCATGTGTCTTCATCTAATCAATTGGCAAACATTTTTATTAAACCTATTCCTTAAGAGATGCTTTTTCTCATGATAACTGAATTAGGAATATTAAATCAATCATGAACTGATTAAAATATTCTAGATGCTCTTGTCACTCTTTTATTCTCTTTCTCAATGTGTTATACATGATCTTTGTGCTTGCTTTTCTTGTTTCCCGCCTTTTTGACTATGCCAAAGGGGAAGAAATACACTCTAAGTGGAAGTAGAGTCTATATTTGTGAGGGGGGGTTTAACCACTCCAATATTTTACCCTTGTTTGTGTGTTTTCATATCTCCTGAGAGATGCATTATCATCGTCAAAAAAAGAGAAGAATATGGATCTATGTGCTTGTAGGTAAAATTGTCTGTAAACGACCTTGGTGATTTTGATAATACCGACACCCAATGTCAAACAATGTTAGGTGAATTCCCTAATGATTTGTGGACCAACAACCTTTGATAATGATGTTTATCAAAGAAGTTATATTTAAGCTTCACACTAGTTAATCAATTAACTATTTTGTAACGCATTCCAATTGTCCAAGGATGCTTTTAATCAATTAGTGATAGAGGATTTGAAAATCTTATACATTTAGCTTATCTAATCAATTAAGTCAATCAATTAGATCATTAAAAAAGCTCATTTAGCTTTTCCTTCTTAAGCCAAATCTTCTCCTATAAATAAAGGACTTCTTCTCATTATTGTTTTACATCGAAAATTGAATATATAGTTATTCTTTCTCATTTCTACTTTCTTCTACTTCATATTTTTCTATTTCTTCACAAAGTTGTCTTAGTGCCAAGAGGGTGAGAGTTTAGTTGTACTGGTGTGGTACTGCATTTGTTCTTGTTCAAGGGAGATATTATCATTAGTAATATTTTTGTTTGGTTCTTGAGATTAAACTACTAAAATTTTGATATACTTCTTAAGATTTTCTAGTTAAAATCTCCATTTGGTTTGTGAGCTCAGTCTATTAAAAACTCTTATTGGTTTGGAAATCATCGTGTGTAAAATTCCTCATTGTTGTAAAAGGTTCATGGACATATCCTTAAAATATCAAGACTAAATGGTAAGGCGAATCTGTATAAATCTCTGATGCGTTATCTCTAACAACTTTATGTCTTTAATTTCTGTCATTTACTTTTTTTTCTTGTTCTTCCTTTCTGTTACATTATCTATGTTGAAATAATAATTTTTTTTAAAGAAAGAGTTTCTAAAAATAAACTCAATTTTTAAATAAAACAATTCAACACCCTCCATTTTTGTATCTAGAGCCACTTGTTCAACACTTTTTATTTGTAATATATTGTTTCTCTTAAAATTTCTTAAGATGTTTTAGCTTGTTCATATTTATTTTATTTTTTGCAACTCACAGCAGAAAACAATTAAATTTGTATAAGAATTTTTGAAATTATAATTATTTTATTAGTCTAAGAATTTTGTTACTCAATTTTTTTAAAATTTCACCAAGAGTTTTGAGATATTTCATTTTATGAAAAAAAATACAATTTTGAATGCGTCCTTCTAAATTTTTTCTAGGTAACTCAAACTCTTGATCTAATATATATTATAGTCTTTCTGATATCAATAGTCATAGATAGTCCACCACACCTAAGTTGGATCTACATTGTGTCTCTATAAATGCTTTTGTGAATTGCATCCTTCACTCTATATCCCCAACCTTTATCTAACTTTTTAGGTACTTATTTGGCCCCTACATGAATTTTACTCCAATGCCTCTCAATTTAATGATTATATCTATTTATTGCCTCAAGAAAAAGACACCACCCTTTTGTTGATTGGAAGTTATGATTTCTTTAAAATCCTCCATAAATAACCAAGACTCGTTCATAATATGTTTCAATCTCAAATATTTTTAAAACTAAACTCTAACCCTAAGATTTAGGTTTGCATAAATGTAAAATGTAGTACTAACTATTTTTTTAAAGGGGTGTAGTCCTTAACTATCTTGATCGTGAGTAATGTTGAAAGTTACAACATTCTAAGCGAATATCAATGACCTAAATCCCAAAATGTACATATGAGAAATGATAATTGAGTATAGTAAAATGAAATGCAATAAAAATAAGAATGAAATGTAGATATGTACCCTTTGTACATATGACACACACTATTATGGCCACTAGTAAGTGAGTTTCCGTCTACCTAACTTAGACTAAACATTCATTCACACATTGTTTATATCGTCCCTTTAATAACAACATTCTCACTCTCCGGAGCTCCCAAAGCACTAAACACTGATTTCCAATTTAAAATACCCAAAACCATTTCCTCTTCTCTTCATTTTCTCTGGCTTCTTCCATTTTCTCTTCCCCTCATCTTTTCAGACCAATTATGGCTTCTCTAACCGGATCCAATTGCGTCACTCTCCGAACCGCCACTTTCGCCGCCGCCGGTAACCGTAAAATCAATCAGATCCACCAATGGTCTCCGTCCATGAACCATCTCCGTCCACTTTCCGGTATTCACTGCAGATCCAAGACCTCGTTTAACTCCACTGGTACTACTATCTTCGTTTTTTATTCAATTTTTGTTCTCATAAGTTTATGTCCAGTTTCGCTAATTCGAGAACGTGTAATTTCAGCTGTGAGAGCACAGGTTGCTACTGCGGAGGAAGCTGTAACCGGAGCAGTGCAGAAAGTGGAAGCGCCGGTTGTGATTGTAACCGGAGCCTCTAGAGGTATTGGCAGAGCAATTGCGCTAGCGTTAGGTAAAGCTGGTTGCAAGGTTAGTCGTGACTTAAACTGATAATGAAATTATTTATACAAGTGCTTCTGGAGAAATTAATCAAAACATGCTTTTGTGTACATTGTTGTAATGCCTTTGTGATTTACTTTTGGATTCTGATGTTCGTTACATTGACTTTTATATGTTGCAGGTATTGGTCAACTACGCCAGATCATCTAAGGAAGCTGAAGAGGTTTCCAAAGAGGTAGAAAACTGCATTCTGAAATTGTGTCATTCCTTGTCTATGATGTTATTGTTTTTGTGCCAATCTAGTTTTAGGAACACGATTAAGGTTTATATATAACATAACTTGAATCTGCAACTGAAAGTTCATCGTGTTACTCTGAAAACTTTTTAAAACATAAGTGTTAGTAACTTAGGATATTCATCATGCCCCAAATATTTGTTAGGCTTATAAAGTTGGTGGTACAGTGCTTGATGATTTCCTCTACAACTTTATAGATTTTGTAAATTTTAAAATTTGATCATGTTTCCACTGGAGAAAGGCGTGTCAAGTGCTATAGTTCTAGGAATTTGTATATTGGTGCAATGCATCTCTAAGACAATTCATGTTGTTACTTAGTAGGGGTTTTATGGTCTTCTACTTTTATGCTCTATGTTTTGTTCTTTATTAAGTTGAGGCAAAGTTGGATAAAAAGGACATAATTAATGCTAATGATTCAGATCCTAAAGAAAATTAATAAGGTTTTTCCTTGTATAAATTTGTAATTTGCCGAGATTTTTAGCCTTGTGCTTTATAACTGGATATCTGGGTGGTTGTAGTTGTATGTTATGTTATACTCACTCATGCTTGATGACATTTTCTTTATTATTCTAGTGATGTCAGCTCTTGTCATCTGTGTTATTTGAGCATTAGTGTTCAGGCTATTTTACAGGGAATGACTGAACTGTATTAATTTGTTCAATTATTATTTGTAGATTGAGGCACTGGGTGGACAGGCTCTAACTTTTGGTGGAGATGTTTCTAATGAAGCTGATGTGAACTCTATGATTAAAACTGTGAGCAGCTATTCTTGAATTATTAGATTGATCTTGTTCTACCTTTTCTGCTTTATGACTTTCACATCTGTAGGCAGTAGATGCTTGGGGAACTGTTGATGTATTGATAAACAATGCCGGTAAGTTAAAAAGATTTTGTGATTGTGCTACCCTCTTTATTTTCCCTCATACTCAAATAAATATTGTGTGGTTTTAGGAATAACTAGAGATGGTTTATTGATGAGAATGAAGAAATCTCAGTGGCAGGAGGTTATTGATCTAAATCTCACTGGTGTTTTTCTTTCCACGCAGGTGAATATTTTAAGAATGAGTTTGTGTTAAATTTAAGTTTTCCCTATTCTTTTTAATTTGATATGAGATGGTTCTTTTTCTTTTGCAGGCAGCTGCTAAGATTATGATGAAGAATAAGAAGGTGACAACAATTTATTCTTTTATCCTTCCATTTCTATGATTTCTTTTAGGAATTTTACTTGGGAACTATAGACCATTCAAGTCATTAATTGCTCCTAAAGTGGAATTTTTTTCTCAGCAGTTCCTTTTTTCTAAATGCCCAAGTTTAATTTTGATTTTTTGCTGTATCTATCCCAATGCTGCCTTTATTTCATAATTTGCAAGATGACAACTATCTCTCACTAAGCTCTTGACTTTCTAATATGGTACTTGTATATTTTCAGGGAAGGATAATCAATATTGCATCCGTTGTTGGTTTGATTGGCAATGCTGGACAAGCCAACTATGCTGCTGCCAAGGCAGGAGTAATTGGCCTGACAAAATCTGTTGCAAAGGAATATTCTAGCAGAGGCATCACTGTAATTGTCTAAAATATTTGCATTTCTTCTTGATTTTATCAATTGTTAAATTTAGCTAAAACCCTGTTTTTCTTGCCAGGTTAATGCTGTTGCTCCAGGATTTATTGCATCTGACATGACTGCCAAGTTAGGAAAAGACATAGAAAAAAAGATTTTGGAGGCAATTCCATTAGGTGAACAAAAGAAATATTCATAAGTTGTAATTTATTGAAGATGTTGTTAACTACTTAAACTTACTATTTTCACGTTGGATTCAGGGCGTTATGGCCAACCAGAAGAAGTTGCTGGACTAGTGGAGTTCTTGGCCCTTAATCAAGCTTCCAGCTACATCACTGGGCAGGTCATTTATTTAACCTATATTGCATATGAATTACTTTTCATAATTACATCGCATACTACATTTATAACTTACAATTGTACTTTCCACAAGTACATCATGTTATAGTTCTTTAGTTTTTGTTATTTTCAAGTGTTGATTTTTCCATTATCACAAAGCTTACTTTTTATAATATGATTACTGGGTTACAGGTTTTCACCATCGATGGAGGCATGGTGATGTAAATCAGCAATGTGTTTCTCTAGTAATCTTAATCCGAGCTCCTGCGCCTAAATCACACTTCATCCAAATGGTTTTCAACTGCTTCTATAGATGATAGGTCGTTCTATGATGAGTTTTGTTTGAGCTCTACCTTGTGATTTACAGTAGAATCTTAGTTGAGCTTATTCATGAAGTCAAAGGTGTTTTAACAGAGTCATGTTAGCAGAATAGGAGTTATTTTTATATTTAAGCAATTCGGCCACTTTGAGGATTAGCTTCTTCTAGACGTTCTTTGCTGGAAACTGGCTTATTTATACACTGTTCTTATTCTCTGATTATACACAATAATAAAACTTTAGATGCTAAAATTTTGCGCAAATTACTTGAGGATTTAGAATGTTATTTTGATTTGAGAAAATCATTTTACATTTGTTAATAAGTATACTAATTGCACCTTTAATTTTACTTGTTTCTTGAAAGAGAGAGAAAAAAATTCAGTTTTTTCCTTTTTATTTCAAAAGTCTAACAACAGTAGCTAGTTGTTGAGAAGTGATGTATTGTGGATTCCAACGCTTGCTACAATATCGAATGTCCTTAGCCCAAACCTTATATAATCTTTTACGACTATTCTTGTTGGATATTCAAAAAATTTATACTAAATGAAGTCAAAATAAATATTTTTTTCTTAAAGCAATTCATTGATGGAAGAATACAAAGTGTATTCTAAAAACAATTATAACATAAACAAAACACTTAGGAGAAATTTCAACCAACACCAAAACTATCTATTACAATTTAAAAGATTTAAGAAAAAGGCTAAAAAAACTTGAGTTGGAATGATGAATTTTACCACAACAAATCCACTTTCAAGCAAAAAAAAAAAAAATTGACATTTCAACATAAATTGTCAACATTGCAAGTACCTTCATTAAAAATAATATTATTTCTTATTGATCGTATCTGATCAGAAAAGATTGTCGACCGCCACGCGCCACTGATCTGAAAGCTGCTCAACGGAAGTAGGGAGGAGGAGGGGAGTGTACCTGCAAGACACTCCGATACTTAAGTGAGTAAAGAACCAGAGTGGGAGCAAATACAGAAGTTAGGTGTAGAGAGTGAATACCTGACCCTCTAGTGAAAGAGGATATTTATAGAGAGACCCCAGCGTAGGGCCAATGGTTACTTGCGTTGGGCTGTGCTGCTAGGCCCAACCCAAGTAACTGCTAGGGCTTACGTGGCGTAATGAAGAGCAGCACGTGGTCTTCGCCCTAGATCAACTGCCCCTTGATCTCTGGAAGGTGGGCTGACCAGCTCTTCCGGAGGTGGGTAGTTGTCTGATGACGTGTCCCCGCGTAGGGGAGCACGTGGAGAACGTGGGGAAGACGTGTTGCTTTGCCCGACGAGAAAGATGTCTGACCGGTGTGTCTAGAACAGTGGCCGACACTGGGGGATTTGGGCCTTGTTGGGCCTCCTCCAAGTAACATTGGACTGGGCCTGCCCGACGGATGGGCAGGTTTAGGTCCACTCTAGAACAGGAGCCCCCCAAGTCGTAGCTCTAATGTGAAGGAGCAATGACTTGAAGATAATTGCGTCGGGGACGAAGAAGGACGAGGAAGAAGCTTGTCGGACTGCCGTGTCGAAGACACTAGGGGCGAGGATCTTAATCTTGTCGGGCAATCAGGTCGAGGAGGTGGAAGATTGTCGGACGCCCGCTCGCCTATGCTCGAAGAGGGGAACGAAGGGACATGACCGTTCGTGGTGGCCACGTGTCTGGCGATCATTGTGCCACTTAGGGCGGCTACCCTAGGGCACTTGAGTGACTAGGGGCGCTTCGAGTACCGTGTTGCGTTTATAAATAGGCAGTTGCCTGCCCTTTCACCATTTTTCGCATTCGCTCGCTATCGCATGTGATATCTGGATCTCCCGTACACGCAGTCGCACAATACCACCACCGTATTGTCCGCCGCGCATTCCTCCGTCTCTACTATCCCAGTAAGTTTTCTACTTCTTCTCTTCCGTCTTCCTCAATTTTGATGTCCTTTGTCGTGAACATGATGAATGTCCTGAGGAGATCGTGGGTTCTCCGGCGAATACGGAGGGATCCCCTTGACCTAGGATGAAGGCGTCGATGTCTCTTAAGGCTTTAGGATGAATGTCCCGGGGACATACGACATGGTAAGGATGGATTCCCCGGGGACGTAGGGTAATGTTAGATGAACACCCCGGGGACGTAAGATAAGGTTAGATGAACGCCCCAGGGACGTAGGATAGGGATAGATGAACGCCCCGAGGAGGAACGCTCGGGTAGAGATGGACGTTGCAGGGACATGAGCCGCCGCTGAACTGTAGTCGTCGTCCTCATCGCCCTTTCACTTGATTTGTGGTGGAAGGGTGAATTTGATCTTGAAACGTCAAATTCACCATTTCCTTCTGATTTTCAGGTGAACATGACCTCGTGGGCAACGGGAATCATGGAAGTTGACATGGAGCCAGAGTCCTCGATGGCCCCGCCTGTCAAGGGGCAAGCCCGATTTGTCGAGGACTGGGTCGCAGAGGAACCTTTAAACATGTCATCCAACTTCGTCGATAATGACATTGGCGCTTTCGTGCCCATCGAGGACCGTTGTGAGGGCTCTTCTATGAGCTGGCAAGCATACCGACCACGAGACCATCATCGGATATGTTCGAGCTACGGGAAGATGAGGTTTCCCATGTATGAGTTTTGCTTCCGCGAGGCGGGTCTTCGGCTGCCCTTCACTGATTTCTAGTTGGCCGTTTTCGACTGGCTGAAGCTGGCACCTTCCCAACTGCATCCCAATGCTATAGCCTTCATTCGGGCATACGAGCTCGTCTGTCGGCATTTGAAGATTGGTGCCACCCTTACGCTGTTCTTTCGACTTTTCCACTTGCAGAGGCAGAAGGTGGATGACCGGGAAGGATGGGTGTCGTTGAAGCAGCCGAGGAGGCTCTTCCGGGCGTACATGGACTCTGTCCGGGATTTTAAAGAGCGTTTCTTTGTGGTCCAGCCTATCTCTTTCGAGGCGTACGCCTCTTTGTACCGACGTGAAGCTCGGGAAGTGAATGGGCAGCGGGAGGAAGTCATGGTGCCGAAGGTGCCCCTGGACTGGTCGGAGGAACACTTCAGAAGGGGCACAGATCATTATATCGTACGGGCAGGGACCCTGGACAAGGAGGACCAGGTGGGTTACCAGAGACTAGTGTCCTTCGTGGCCAGTTTCACCCCGGAAAAGCTCGTGACTCCCGATGGGAACTTTATCCTCCACAGCCGAGGGAACATTCTCCAGTAGGCGAGACTCATAAACACGAAGGCTCTGCTCGAGTGTTCGTCTGACGAGGAGGCTCTACGTTTCCTAGGTAGCGGGCAGTGCTCTGCCCATCTCTTTGGTCCCTGTTTATCCTCGTGTTTGCTAATCCTTTCTTTTGTTTTTGCAGGAAGCATGTCGACTATGCAAGAGCACGTGAAGAAGTTGGCAGCCTCCAAGGTCTCGGCTAAGAGCGGAAAGGGAAGGGTCGCCCAAGTGATGCAGCAGCCTCTGGCCGACCCGAGTGGAAAGGGCTCCTCGTCTTCGCCCTAGGGCAGTCATTCCCCCATGTCGCAAGGGACCCCAAAGCGGGTGAGAGTCCATGGTCCTGATACCGTCGTCGACCTTATAGAGGGTAGTATCGAGGAGGGGTTTCTTATCCCCCCTTGTCATCAGCACCCCGACTTCTTCCACGGGGCTAGGTCACCGGCGGTGTCGGTCTCAGAAGCGAAGGCGGTCCTCGGGGCGAGCCGGGACGCTCGAAGACAGATGCTCACCGAAGACTTGGCTGCGATGATGCGGGTCTTCTCGACCACTTTGGTCCTAAGCGATGAGGGCTGTTCTTCAGTCGAGCTGGCTAAATTGCAGGTAAATCTTACCTTTGCTGAGTCGAGGTTGACCAAGCTGGCTGCTAAGCTGGACCTGAGCAGGGAGGAGAGCGCGACGCAACGTAAGAAGAGCAGCGAGGCTGAAGAGAGGTTGAAAGCTGCCGAGGAGGAACGGACGAGGTTACAGGCTCAGATCGAGGAGTTGGAGACTTCCCTTCGTCCCGCCGAGGGTGAGACTGACGAGGAAAGACTCTTGCTTTCCCAAGATGATTTACTGGGCAAGATCCGTGAACTCGAGCAAGACTGCTTGGGGGCCGTCGAGGTCGGGTTTTCTAGCGTTGTGGAGCAGCTCAGGATCGTGAATTCTGAGGTTGCTCTGATCACCGAGGGGAAGGGGCCCTACCACCTGGTCGTTGATGGACGGGTGGTTGTGATAGGCGCCGAGGAAGATGATGATGGAATGCCCGCTGACGAGGTCGAAGGAGGTCAACCAGAGATCTAGGTTTTGTGTTTCTGGGCCTGCGTGCTCATAGTTTCTAGGCCTCGTTCCCCTTTTATTAAGTTGTTTTGTCGGCCCTGCGTGCCCTTTTATTGTAATTTTCAAACTGTCGGGATGGTGCCCCTGATTGTACAATGACTATGCAATGATATTTTCTTTTTTCTAAGTGTGTGCTCGTTTACATGTGGCCCTTTGTATGCTCGTATTTTGTATGGACCTTTGTATTTTTGTATGTTTGCATGGGGGTGGTAGCTCGATGTTATTCGTTGTGTCCGGTTGTGCAGGGAACTGGCTGGGTGGCCGAGATTATTATCTGGTTGGTTATGGAGATGGACCGCGGTCGTGGTCTTAGCTCCGCGGCGTGAACGTCCCATCGCGAGCTGGGTGTTCTGCCTTCTCGGTACGACGGTGGCGGTCCTCGGTCGAGGGGCCTCCGTCGAACAGAGCGCTCTGCTCGTGTAACACCCCGTTTCCCAAAATAAAATAAAATAATTAAATAAGCACACATCAGAGTATCTCCCACCACGGGATGTCACAATTCACACTACAATCCCACAAAACATTTTTCCAAGTTAATTTAACTGAATTTTTCAAATAAAAATGCAGCGGAAAAGATATGGTCTGTCATAACCCAAAATATCATATACAAACAT